AGTACTGTACTTTCCGTCCCCGGTTTTCAAGCCCTTTCATCCAGCCCTCTTTTCAAGATCCATTCATCCAGGATATGGATGCGGGTCTGGCCAATTAGGCTGTTCAATTCATCTTTCCCACGTTTGCGGATAGTGGCTTTGATGGGCGTGGGAGACATCCACGTTGTAGGCATGCCTTCTGGTATCTGAACCTTGCGTGTTGGCTGCAACCTTGAGGTCATTGCTCGGTGTGAATCCGGTTTCTCGCGATCACGAAACCCAGAGCCTAGCCCCATGCTTCACCTGCACGTATGTCGGTGTGTCGGTGAATCTTTTTGACTGAAGCAGCAAGACATGTGACACAGCAAAGGCTGATGAGAGAGGGCTCAGCTCGAAGCGAGGGCTCATGTGGACTGGCCCACCACGAGAGATAATTCATTGCTTATTAACGTTATACAGAACCGACAACGGCGCCCCCAGACGATAGCATCGTTTGGCCTGTTTTGGGTAGTTTCTAGCGCAACTGTAAGGTCAACGGTTTGTGTTCATACATGGTAGCCGCTTGAGCAAAACGCGGTATTACCTGAATAGGCCTTGGGCCAAAGGACAATGGACGAATGGTGAAATTGCCGCTGTAATCGAATTGCAATCCGTGACATAGGCTGGCGTCGTATATCTCTCATCCCGCGCCCCTGACTAATTGTCCAATTTCATCATTTTGACTTGTTGCTGCTCACCTAGGTAAAAAAACGGCGAGCCCCGGTGGATTCGCCAAAGTTGGCAAGCCAGGACTTTATCATGGCCGCCCCCGTGGCCGAAAACTAGATGCCCCATGTTTGTGTCAACAACGTATCGTGAGAAATCTCGCGTGTAGTCCCCAGATCTTGACATGTGTACTATGCGATGGCTTCGATACCCCAGAATCAGATACTCCAAAGGGGCTGCACAGCATCCCTGACACAGCGCGTCGGAGCCGCAACACATCCCAGCGCCTCATTGCACAGAAAGCCAAGTTATGACAGTGCGCGGCACATATCTGGACCGCGACCACATCGCATCGCAGGCCTCTGACCCAACCAGGCATCTGCGCGGCATGGATCTCAGCTCTGGCTCGCTTGTAAGCTAAGCTCCGACCTTAGGTCGCCGGCCCTTGGTCTCGGAGACGCTCGGTGGAAGGTCTAGCGAGGAGCCTCACTCACAGACAACTGCATGAAGCAGCTGGTTGAACCCCTTTGGAAGAGCTTCACCCCCTGTATTCCTAGCGTCCGTCCTCCGTGCCCTCCATCCCATCTGCAATCGCTCGCCTCCCTTGGACCGGGTGGATCTCAACATCGTGGAGCCTCAGTGTTGACCATCACGTCCGCAAGCGCGCTAATGACGGATCCGCGCTTCTGGGCCTCGTCGTTCATGCTCAGGATTTAGGGTTCGGTGAGCAGCATGATTGGAGCGCATTTTGGAGAGCTTCGGTGACAGATCAAGGTGAGGGAAGAAGTGACTCGGCTCCATCCATGGTGTTTAGCCGCGTTCACATAAGAATTTGGGGTGTTGAAATCTCGTCTTCGTTCTTTAAGGGGAGAATTCGACAAACAAAAGGCTTAGGGCTTTCTTTTCCGTATTCTCTCAGAGCTTTTCGAACTCATGATAGACGTTGGTTGAAATAAGAGACATGAGGTGGTGTCCTAGGAATCGTCGACACAGGAACCCCTGCTTATTTCAGTGACAAGCAACGCACTTTATGAATGTCGTTCCGACAACCATATGGAAGGCAGGAGGATGGTTCTTGCCCCCACGTGCCTGCCTTCTAGAATCAATTCCACATGACTTGGACTTGATGATTTCTTCAACTCCCTGTTGATGCTTTTACCCACTAAAAGGTTGAACAAGACATCCACTCCTGCAAAGTCCCATGGATATCGGACCGTCTCGGCGCGCCAATACGATGGGGTCCGGCACTTGAGACCCCAGATGATACTGATACTGATGGAAAGATGACGGCGCGAGATGATGCACGGCTGCATCTGATGACATTGGCCGGGACGAGGTTGAGGCTCGAGAAAGAGGCCCGGGGCGAGACGCCTTCGAGCCATGATGAAATTCCATCAACCATCAGCGAGGAAAGCTGTTGATTAACAAGGAGGTCACATTGTTCCTTTTATGGAATCCGGAATGCCCGATACGAGAGTTTATTACAACGCAGAATGTGAGTGCCCAGCATGACCCTTGCTAATTTGTTTCGTTCATCAGTCAGCAGCCAACTTATGACAGTTGACAGCGTGCATGAGAAGCAATGAGGATGACGCCCTTGACCAGGACTCAATCTATTTCAGAAAACCCAATTTTGTTAGGGACGAATTGGCTGGCCCGCGATGCCCGACGTTGGAGTCTGAGTCAGCCCCTGCATGAACATCACCATCAAGCTCTGCGACACAAAGGCCCCCTGATAGTCCAGGCTGAAACAGGAGTCCTCTTCGAGACGGGGGCCCCCATGCAGGTGGACAGGCCGCCAACACAGACCAACCGGACGGAGCGATTCTCTAACACTCCTGCAGCTGGTTCTGCAGGACAACTGTTAGCGCCTAGCTTACAGGCTCCCATGTTCCCAACCTGAAGCCTTGGCCTCAGCGTCGAAGCACGACAGCGACAGCCGTTGTCGCAAACCAATTCTTTTGCTCTCTAGAGCGCCGCGGTCGCTGTATATGCGACTTGTTCAAGTCGCACCTCGCAAGAGGCGAGTTAGTTTGGCCTGACTGGTTCCTGATGTTGGCCTACTACGCAGTAGGAGTCAAACCACCAAGGACCCCTTGGATCATTGGATCGTCCGTATGTGGGTGGTATGCGCGCGGCACTCATGCCATGTACCCCGGCTCACATCGTAACATGGAACTTGATGATGTATCAAACCATAACTAACTACCCATGGCCCGTTAGTTTCTTCCTCTTCCATCTTCCTCCTCACCATCTCCCACACTCAAACACTCGAAACAAAGTCGTGTGCCATAACCCGCCAAGGGCGCACTTTTCCTTTGTCATTCATTCACTTCCTCTTACTCTCCTTCAAGGCTGGACCTTTCGTTTATTGCAACCAGTTTCTTTGATGCCCAGTCAGCGACTGCCATCGCCATCACTGTCTTTCCAGATACCCCACACTATCGCTTTGAATCACCAGTACCAAGGACAGGGCTCTCGAAGAGTTTCGTGGTCTGATTAATTGATTTCTTTCGATTCAACATTCAAATATCCTTTCAGGAAAAGGCAATTTTTATTACTATTACTATTCCAATGGCGCCCTCTCTCGAGTCTCGCCAGCCTCGGTGGCAGAAGGAAGCAAAGAGGGGATTCAGTGGGAGCATGCCGGACTGGACGAAGGCGGACGATACCGATCACGAGTACGATGTCACGATAATGAAGAAGCGAAGGCTCAGGATCAGAGTCCGTCGTGGCGATAGCGAGATCCCATCTGGAGAACCAAACATTGCTTCATCTCTATCACGACGATTCGTTACCATCGAGCAACGATCAAGCGACGACAGTGACAGTGAGAGCGATGATGACGACGATTCTGACAAAGAGGAACGCATAGAGAGCACTGATGGAAGCAAACTTGTAGTCCCCTCAAATGATACTCCCACGGTAGCTGCGCCATCAGCCGACGGGAGTGTTCCTCGAGGAGACTCTGGGATGGTGAGTCGATGAAGTTGGTCAACATCAAGTCTAAAATGCTAACTTTCAAAGGTTTCTGGCGGGGATGGGGTTCACTCAAATGTTCACAAGGTCCTCCTAGGAGTGGGAATCGTTGGTGGCTTTCTCCTATTACTGGCCATCGGGTTCATCATCTGGAAACTCTATAAGAAGAGATCGGATCAGAAGAAGAGATCTCCCATTGACGACATGGCGTTTGAGAAGCCGAGTCGGTTCGAAAACCTCGTTTCCAAAGTTCCGTTTATCGGACCACGCTTCGGCTACCAAGGCTGGTACACCATCGACGCCCCATCTCAGGAACACTTTGCAAAGTCACAGCAACCTCAAGGCAACCTTGAAAAGGCACAGCTATCTCAGGAAAACCTCGAAAAGGCGCAGCCTGTCTCGTCCCCAAGGCCAGCCTCTAGCCGAATCGACTCTCAGCTCCTTGCACCCATGAAGCCCCTGGGAGCCTACCGCCTTGGAAGCACAAGGACGTCAACGATAAACCTTGATTTCGAAGCCATCAGCCCTACGAGCACAATGTTTGTCGAGAGCACTGCGGTCCAGGTTCAAGTCATCGCTCGACACGACCCTAAGGAATCTATCGCTTCGGTTAGCGGACGCCAGCACAAGCGAGTTCCTTCTACAACACCATATATCTATGACGTTGGAGGAAGACGCCAGACTGGTACCAGCTACCTCTCTTCCATCTCTTCCGGCTTTGGCGACGGTGACATCGTTGTCACTCCCACCAACAACACCATCCAGACCATTCCTTCACAACCTGCACCTGCGACCCTTCCCTCTCGACTGACTACATGGCGATCCACCAGCACGCTTGGTCGACGGGACACTGAGACCTCTTCTGGCCGGCGGGATACCGTGTCCACTGAGGCTTCTTTTGATATCCGTCCACGATTCCACAGTGTTAATTCATGGGTGAAGCAGCAGAACGGACATCTACGACGGGCGCAGCGTCAGCAGGAGAGCAGCCCTGATGGAAGCACTCCTCCAGTGCCTACCCTCCCACCGCCTATTGAGCAGGACTTTGGGCTTATGATGCCAGACGGCGAGCGACCACGACCTGTGGAGATGGTGTAAGACTTGTTTAGAATAGTATCTTGTTGGGCAGGGGTAGTGTTTATGAGTCGGTGAAAGGAGTATGGATTGGAAAACACGGGTGGCAGGGCCATACACGGTGGTGGAGTCTTTTTTGTTCTGTTCGAAATGTACAAGCAAACCGCATAAAAACAAAGTATATACTCAAAGCTTCTATGTCTATGAATTGACAGGTCTCTTCGTTACTCCTTTTTGACTATGTTTTCAAGGGTTGACCGTGTCTATTTGGAAGGGAACATCTCCCAGAAACCAATCTCCAACTATCGAGTGTCAGCAAGACATATTCCCATAGGATTGGGTTAAGGGGAATCAATTACCTTGAGGCCCTTGATAAAGATCTGGACGAGCTCCTCAATTCGAGATGGCGACTGTAACTGAAGGTGCTTCTCAAGCAGTTCTGTGTTGCTTTGTTAGTCCTCACATAGGGGAGTGTGAAAAGGGCCTCAGGACGTACCGGATCCCAGTCTAACAGCCTGGGTATAGTCATCTTCATTATAGTTCTTGATCCACGCCCAGTAAGTGTTGTTCTCCTCAACAGTATCCTTGTGGTCTCGCAGCATCCTGGCAACGGCACCATAGCCGAGGAGGCAAGGGGCGAGGGCCATCTGGAGGCCGAGCCAGTCTCCGTTCTGGCCAATGTCGAGGACGTAGCGGGTGTAGGCGGTACAAGCTAGAGGCGTTTCAGTAGGGTTGCAGACGGAACGGGAAGTGGGGAGGTTGGTTTACCTTGCTTCTCCTCGGTGGCTTGGATCTCGGCGATGGAGATGCCAAAGGACTCGCAGTATGTGGTGTGCAGCTTGAGCTCGTGCATGATGTGTTGGACGATCTCGGTGGCCTGGAGAGAGAAGCATGTGAGTTAGAACGATGTGTGATAGGGAGACTGCAGCTTACTCTAGTGATATCCTCGACGTTCTGCGCCTTGTACGCCGCGAGAGCGTTGGCACGCGAGAAGTGAATCTTGAAGAGTTTCTGTTAGCCGCGTTCATTTGTGTCATGGAGGACTATACGTACCAAGTAGAGGTAATCTTGAACAATGTATCCCTTGAAAGACTCGAGAGGGAGGGTTCCATCGCCAATGGCCATGACAAAGGGGTGGTAGACAAACTCCCTCCACACGTCACGGACGTCAGGACGCTCAAGGAGCCATTCAATAAAGTATCCCCTATTCCCAAGTTAGCTAGAATTTGATCAAGAGATGGAGTGTGTAAAACTTACGGAGCAAAGGGAAGCGTATAAGTCGAGTGGAAGTGGTTCAGGGGACCGTGACCCTTGCCCAGGCCGGGTGCAGTCCTGATGGCAGCCTCGATGTATCGGCATGCGGAACGAACGGCTTTGGGGGCGTCGAGCCCCTTGGCCAAGTTGGAGGCGATGGCCGCTGTGCCATGGTCAGCTTAATCTCAGGGGCTAGTGTGAAGATGAACTTGCACGCGAGGGAACATCCAGTGCCGTGAGTGCTCGTGCTGGCCTGGTACGGGCTCTGTACTCTAACGACCTCGTTGTCGCCGCCAACCAGAACATCAACAACAAACTTTCTCTCCTCTTCAGTAGTAGCCACGGTTAGGTCCTCCTTCATGGGAACGTGACCACCCTTGACAAGCACCCACTTGGGTCCCAGAGCCTGAATGCTCCGCGCCACAGCCTCAAGGTCATCGACATTGCGCACCTCAGGAGCAGACTGACCATTCTGCGAGAGGATGAGAAACGCCTCGGGAATGTTGGGCGTGAGAACTGTAGTGTGAGGGAGGAGGTGTTTGCAGAGATGCTGGACGGCTTCGTTGGGGAGGAGTGTCGCTCCAGAGGTTGAGACCATGACCTGCAAGTGTGAGGAGGGAGAATTGGAGATGGAGAATGAAACTTACGGGGTCGACGATGAGAGAAGGGATATTGTGCTTGACAACAATCTTTTCAACCATCTCTATCGTCTCTGCAGCAGCAAGCATGCCTGTTTCATTGTGTCAGCTTTGCCTTGGAATCACTGACAACCTCAGACTCACCCGTCTTGATAACATCAACACCAACATCCTCAACACAGGCTTCAATCTGCTGAGCCACAAACTCGACAGGAATGACGTGGATGGCCTTGACGCCCTGGGTATTTTGCGCCGTGAGGGCCGTGGTGGCCGTCATGGCGTAGCAGCCATGGGCGGCGATGACCTTTTGGTCCGCCTCGAGTCCACTGAGAACGAATGAATGTTAGCAAGTGAATCTTGAGGAGATATTGACATTGTAGTGTTTCATGGACTAGATGCTGTTGCATCGAAGGATGAGGCTCAACTCACGCCCCGCCCGAACTGTCCGACCCAGCAATGACCAGCACACGTCCCTGAGTCATGATGATATGTAGTGAAACTGAGATAATGAATCTCTTAAAGAACAAAAACTTGACAATATATGAGAGATATGTAAAGAATGTCTCCTGACTGTTTACTGGCCGTCAAGTTTAAACTGGCAGCTTAATCCCGCGTCTCGCGCTGGGGTTATGCCCGTAAGTCTTATTCGGGTACAGTCAGTGGGGCCCCATCACATCACCTCAGCATGTCGTGGTGGTGACACGCCAAGTTCATGATGGAGGGCGTGAATTGCGAGGAAATTGCGCACTTTGTTTTATATCTGGATGGTTCATGTTGAAAAGGGTTATTGATCTGAGATTAGCTATCAGAGCATTGAGATTTGTTGTAAAGAGGGATGAGATCGGCTAGAGACTTGGGTGGGCTGATGGTGAAGAGGACGATGGAACAAACGTGAGAGTGTGTCTCTTCTGTTACCAACACGTGAGATGCTAAAGAAGTGGACATGATGGTAGGCAAGTTTATGAAGAAGAGAGCAACAAAAAGAAGAGAAACAAGAACAAATAGCAACAACCATGGCCATCTACAAAGTACCAACACCCAAGCCAACGTGCAAACATGGGCAAACTTGTCTTCGACGCAACACCAGCCAAGCCTCTAGCAGGTCCTATAGTCTAGTGGTCAGGACGTTGGATTGTATGTTTTCTCAACCACTCATAAGATCACCCGTGGATCCCTTTACTAACCTCCAACAGTTGATTATCAAACAAGATCCCCTTCCAAAGGCCCCAGTTCGAACCTGGGTAGGACCTTGATCTTTCCTTTTTATCCTCGTAGAAAGCCTTTCTTTTTGTTGTGCATTTTATATCCTATTTCGGTGGGATGTGGGTTTGTGCAACTGGTGATGGTTGCACGACATGCGGTGTGAATTGCTGTCCTACCAACAACCCAATGGGAATCAAAGATTATCATCTTATGTTTGCTTCGAGTTTTTGTTTCACACTGAAAAGATGCAATTCGAAAAGTTCACTTCAACATTTATCCATATAGATGACGCATCAAAATCTTGATATCATGGGAACCGTCTTGTAATCTTCGTCACACTACCAGACGCCGTCCACAATGCTTTTCATCTCCTCAACCTCTCCCCACCTCGACGAGGAACGCTCTAAACAAATGGATGATGCCCCAGATTGCTTCAAGATAGGTACCAACCCACAGTCCACTGGCCACGCCCCTTGACTCCTTGCCAAAGAAACTCCTTGATCCGAAATCAAGCCTTGACCCCGGCTCCCTGACCTGCTTGCCATAAACGGATATATACAGCTGCCAGAACCCGATCGTCTCTCTGACTTTTCATCGCCTGCTCTCAGCGTGCCCTCATCATTGTTGTCGTTGGTATCGTACAGTCGAAGCTTCATCAACCTCCTCTTTGCCTCGTACCTAAACGAGGCCACGCCATTCTCCTGTTGCTAACCCCTGAAGCCACTAGCGCCTGAGGTTGAGCGGTGCTGGCGTCAAGTCTGCCGGCGGTCCAAGCGGTTCACTCACGCTCCGCTGCCTCTCCGTCCTATCGTCCCCAGAACTGGCTTCACCATCATTGCTCTCCTCGCTCTCACTGTCATCGCTGCTGCTGTCACTATCGTCTTCCTCCTCGTCAAAGACGATTTGCCGCATCACATTCTTGTCGAAGAGGTCAATAACCATCCTTCGTACACCCAGCCGGTAGTGGTTCCATTCCATCGCGCTCATGACTTCCTTAAAGAACTGCGTGCTTCGGAACGCACTTGGCTTATGTGCTCTCAGCTTCTGAAGATCCGTGAGCGCCTTCTTGTAGAGAACCATATTCCCTAGGTCGACAATGAGCTCAAGGACTCTCGTGTTCACATCCGCTTCGCTCAGCAGAGGTGGGAGATCTGCTGGCTCAAGGGGTGGGCGAGCTGCGCGTGGCGGTGGTGGCTCCTGTGCAGTACACTGACTGTTAGGCAGAGTGATTGAAGCCACTGTCTTTTGCTTCCACGGCGCCAATGAGAGCAGTCTGGATAGATCGTTGGGGATACAAAATCCCAGCGAGTTGCCCATCGGCGTCGTGTTGGCGTCCCAGCCATTCTCTGATAGAATCTCCAGGCCATGAGTAGAGCGAGAGATCAGACCTAGCACAAAGAATGCTGTACCACGAAGGCTCATCACTTCGTGTTGCTCAGCGATCTTGATGATCTGCTCGACCACGTCGCTCGATTCCAGAAAAGGAGCTCCGAGCTCCATTGATCCAACATTGCCGACTGCCCATAGGCAGCCCTTGACCTTGGTAAGCATCTCTGCATCGCCCTTGTCCATCCCGTGTTCACGAATTGTCGCCGCAAACTCTTCAAAATGGCCCTTGTCGCTGAGAAGCCTGCAACCCTCCTGAGTGCGGGTCAACTCGCGGTAGAAGTGTGGCGGCACGTGGCTATCGTGGAAATCACCATCCATCTCGCCGTCATCAAACAGACTCATGCGATGGTTCTGCTCGTCCGGATCGGTCAAGAAAGCCTTGGCCAGACTGGCCTCGATGACCTTGACGTATGTGTCGTTTCGTCCCAAGAACCAGTCGTCCATCTCGTTGCTGATATAGTCCAATCCATCTAGGTAATGGTAGCCGATAGATGTGGACAAGAACCGCAGTAATAGTGGCGCACCAATCTCTCCCAGGTGATCCAGGGCCGGCCTGCATTCGACGATGTACTCTAAATACGTCTTTCGATTGCACGCCTTCTCCAAGATCTTGACCGCTGTTGCGCATACCTCAATCTCGGGGTCGTATAGTTGAGTGACCAGGAGCTGAATTGCCCACTTTGAATCGCTCAATCCACCCTGTCGCGACACTGGACGAATCGCATATTTTCGAAGTACGTTGGTAGCATGAATTCGAATGTCCTTGGTACCGGCAGTCAAAGCTTTGGAAACCAGGACGCGTGGGTGACCCTGGACGCTGTAGTCAAAACTGGACAGCAGCAGCTTGATGAGGTCCGGCCGCTGCTTCAGGTCGACGATGTGGTACATCATGTTGAACATTCTCCATCTGTCCAGCAATTGAAGTCCCTTTGGGTCGCCGGTGAGGACACCCAGCATCGCGAAGTAGCCGGCACAAAGAGTGTCAGAGACTCTGTCCCTTGAAAACATGGGATATTGAGCCGTAAGTCCACTAGTCTAGGTAATTGTTAGAAGTATATCATGGACAACAAGGTGATGTCTCTTACTGGATCGCATTGCGCCAGGCACTCGGCAATCTGCCTTAGCAGTTTGCTGTCCGCCAGAAACTTGATGCCCTCTGGTGATTGTAATAGGGAGTGCATCAGAGCACATCCTGCCCTGACGTATTTCTGGGTTCCTCGCGTGTTCTTGACGTCCGCAAACCTGTACTTGAATGGCCGATAGAAGCTGATGATTCTCTTCATAAACTTGGACGCCTTGATGGCCTCCTCGAGACGCTTGCCACTCTGGAGCGGGCCGTCAATGACTTTGATGATGGTTTCCCAGTTCCACTTGGTGTAATTGGAACTATTGAGCACGTTGCTGTCAATAAGAAGTTGCCTGAAGGTGGCGTCGTCAAAGACAAGAGACTGATTGGCCTTTGGTGTGTCGTCCAGGGATGTCAAATCAGCTAGGCTATTGCTCGAGGGCAGGGCTCCAGACACGGCGCCTGAAGGTGCGCTTCTAAACAGTGTCCGACTGACGCTGCTAATTTGGTAGACTATACCAGAAGCAACCCAGTGGTTATTGTCGTCGAACTTGGCCGCCGATGAAAAGAGCTCTGGAAGAAGATGGAGTTCCGCACTCCAAGAAGGGGGCAAGAGGCGGCTCGAAAGCTTGAGCACTTCGCCGATCAGGAGTGTCGTCTTGCGCTGAAGAGTGGGGTTTTCATCCTCTCGGGCAATCTTCAAAAGAATATGCAGGAGATCAGCCTTGATGAAGACAGCCAGCAGCAGGGCCGTGTAGTGCTCGACAAAGTTCTGTTCGCCGTTATCTTCTTCAACAAATGATGAGCTGCCCTTGTCCTTGGCATTTGGTGACTTCAGATTGGCCACTCTGCCATACGTCGTCAATCTTCTTCCAGCCAGGAATGAAGTTGCCCACCCAGGTGATTTGATCCTCAGGAGTGAGAATACAAGATCGAGTACCGTCTCGCGGATCGTGTCATTCGGTAGTAGCATGCTTGTGATGAGGGATCTAACCGCACGGAAGTTGTACATGCAGAGAGCTTGAAGTCCTGGCCATGACTTCAAGGCCGTGGCGATGGCTTTGGAGTTCTGCTTGAGGACACTCTCGTTGGTGAGGAGTTGATCGGTGAAGACGGTGAAGAGCACCTCCAGTCCGTAACCGGGTTGTAAGAATCTTCGTCTCCGTGGTGAGTCGAGGAGGTATAAAAAGGCAGATGCCAAGCTCTCTGGGGCTTTGTAGATGCCCTCCGAGAGCGCCTCAGACAATGGGCCCACGCCTCCAGATGCTACCAGCAGCGCTGGATCTTTCACTAGAATCTCGGCCAGCGTCTCAATGCAGATGGGTCGTAGACGATCAACGTCCTGTTCTGCAGCTTGAGCGTTTGTGCGCCGATCTTCCCCATGCTCAGCGACAGCAACGATGGTGCGCACGACTGCCCTCGACACTTCTTTCACTCCGCCCTTCACGTCGAGAAAGGCACGGACGAACTTGAGGGCCTGCTCACGTTCGACGTCTGCCTTCCGATAATTGTTCAATGATCTAACAGGGTCAATAACTGGGCACTTCGGCATCTTAAACTGCGTACCTGATCACCAAATAATCGGTATTTAGGCTTCGAATCCTCTTCAGAGAGGCCACATCCGAGATGGCGTATCTGGTCATCCGGTAACCAGCAGCAACAACCTCTCGACTTTCGCTCAGGAGCATGACCTGCATACGGAGCCCAAAGACTGACCAAACCAAGTCATACTTGAGAGTTGGATATCGCTTGAAAAGGTCGACCAACTGGTTTCCCCGTGAGACGTAGTACTCGGGCATCATGCCCTCGACCTCCAATGCCTGGAGGAGTTCAGCCAGCGCAAAGGTTGGGCTTTCCGTCGACTCTTCAACGTCAGATCCTATTACGGATCGCGACACACTCTGCGGTGAGCGCACTTCATTAGTTCTGCCGGATTCGAGAACATTGCTCTGGGTTCGGTTTCGTGTTGGTGTGGTTGGCGGGGCCTTTCGTGTTTGCTGAGCGTCCGAAATCTTCTGGCGTAGGTCTCTGATGCGCGAGTTACTGGCGTTGAGTTCTGCCTCAACCTTCAGTCGTTGCTCTTTGGTCTGCTTCGCCTTCTTAGAGTTAAGCGCCTCGAGCATGTTCTCGCTACCCTCCTTGATCTTCATCTCGCGGTTGAGCCGTTCCTTGAGGCCTGCCAGGTTCTTCTCTACCATGGAATCCCCATCATCCTCTTCCACCTTGTCCATGAAACTGCCTGGGTATACTGAAGCGGCGTCAGTCCGACTACCTGCCCGACTGCGCAGCTCCGAGCTGAAGCTTCCTGGGGCAACATTGAGGCTGCTCCCACGAGGCGCAAAGGATACGGCCGAGGCTGATAGGTTGCGTGCGTTGGCGCCATTCGGCGGCTGGAGGCCCGAACCATCGCGGTCGAAACTGGTGCGTCCAGATAACTGTTGAGGGAGGTTCTGCTGAGAGGAATGGCTCGGGGGGGTCATGCCCTTCTGGGTCGCGGCAGAGGAGCTCAGCATGACGACGGCGAGCGGCCCACCGGTTGGGACGGGGCCCTGGCGCGGAAGTAGTGCATTCGTCGATTGCTGAAGCGGTTGAGAGATTCGTTGAGGCGAATGCGATCGCGGTCGGGGGTATAATTACGATGTCGACGGAGGGGGAGAGATCGTTCGCGTGACGGCGGTGTCAAGACAATAGCGACAACCTCGATATGATATGTATAGAATGGACCGCGTTTGATCTGACTGTCGTGCTCACCGGACTTTAGAGGGTATGTCGAAAGTCTGTCCACCGAAATCTGAGTTCAAGGGAAGCTCCGACCAGGCTGAAGATGGGCGGAGACGGTTGTTGGAGGTGGTTACGTGGAAGTGGAGGTGGAGGCTCTGCAGCCGCGCGAGCATGAGCTACAGCAAATGATGCAGCCGCGAGGAGGAGGTTGCTGAGAGGGGGGGAACCAGATCGCCAACAGAAGCAACAACCAGATGCCCTACGCCAACACCAGAGCGAAACGAAGGAGGCTCGAGGTGCAGGGTCGACAGGGTTTCGAGCAACGAGCGGCGTGGTGATTGGAGGATCAAGACGGAGGTTGTTGGCCTTGCGGGCAGCCAGAGTGGAGGAGGGGACCCGGCCAGGCGGTGATGGCGAGGGGAGGTGCATTGTAAGCGGGCACTAGAAGTGCTGGTCAGCCACTGTAGCTGCAGCCTGCTTCAGTGGCTCGAAAGGCCTTTGAGGCCGCTGAGATTGGTGGTGACATTCCTAAAAGCTGGGGAACTAGACGGGATGGACGGGAACGATCCAATATCAACACATGGAGAGGGGGATCCATTAATAGCATTTGAACACTTTATTCCTTGCAAGGCTGTTTCTAGTTGTTTCATGGAGATGATTTTCGTATGGATATCACGAATATTCTTGCAGACAGGCCCTAACAATGATACAACTAAATTGTTACTGCCCTTGTCTTGTCCTTGAGAATCTGTTAGTGGTCGAGGCATCATGGGAGACATCCATCTCCATTTGTACCTCAGGCACCTCCGATTCGAGTCCGACTCGAAGACTTTGCTTCTTCTTGCCGAGTTGTCATACACCTCGGCTTCACTCCTCAACCGCGAGAGAGCGACTCAAAAAACCTCTGAAATCATGCCATTTAGAGTCACATCAAGACTAGGATTGGCTTCTACTGGCAGATAAGATGCACCAGACACACCACACGGGTCAGATAAGAAACGGCAGGTCGAGATAACGTGGGTTAGTTAGAAGCTGGAACCGTCCAGGCGGCTCCCGATGCGCGGCGCCCCAGGGAATCGGCGTCCTCCGCGCCCGGGCGCCGACCCTCGTCTCCCCATGAGGGCCGTCGATTCGCTGCCCTGCGCTTCAGCGCGCTTCAACGAATTCCTCGGCCACCGGCGCCTGTCTTCTCGTTGATCGGGGCGTCCGTCTCCGTCCGCCGTTGGGGCTGTCACTGTCGCCTCCGGAGGAAGAGGGGGGGGGGGGGGGGGGGCTGACGTCTCAAGCCGAGTCTGGAAACGGTTATATATTAGAAGCTTATCTCCTCCTCCTCGTGTCTAGAGTCTGCTTGTCCTCAGCTCCTTCTTCACTACCTTCCTCTCTGAGATAAGAGTCACATTAAAGTTGATCAACCATTCACTGACGTCTTTCCGTCACATCCAACTCTAGTGCAACGGATAACAAGGAATCCCTGCCGTATCAATTACACTTGAACCCTTCCGTTTCCATGCCTCAATCTTTCACCTTGAGACAAAAGAAATCATCCGCCATGCCTTATGTATCTGCTGCTCGTTACGGTAAGGACAATGTCCGCGTCTGCAAGGTCGACCGTGATGCTACGACCGGCATCCAGACCGTCACTGAGATGACCGTCTGCTGTCTCCTTGAGGGAGAGATTGAGACCTCGTATACCGAGGCCGATAACAGCGTTGTCGTCGCCACCGACTCCATCAAGAACACCATCTACATCACCGCCAAGGAGAACCCCGTGAACCCTCCAGAGCTGTACGCCTCTATCCTCGGCAGCCACTTCATCCAGAAGTACAAGCACATCCATGTCGCCAACGTCAACGTCAAGACTGTCCGCTGGACGCGCCTGGCCGTTGATGGAAAGCCTCATCCTCACAGCTTCTTCAAGGATGGCGAGGAGACGCGAAACGTCGAGGTCCGCGTGAGCCGCCAGGATGGCATTCAGATCAAGAGCTCCATCGTCGGCCTGACCGTTCTCAAGAGCACCGGCTCTGCTTTCCACGGATTTGTCCGCGATGAGTACACCACCCTGCCAGAGACTTGGGACCGCATCTTCTCGACCGATGTGGACGCTTCATGGAAGTGGAACACCTTTGAGAACGCTGCGGCAGTCCAGGCCTTTGCCCCCAAGTTCGATAAGGCTTGGGAGGTGGCACGAGCCGTTACCCTCAAGATCTTTGCCGAGGATGACAGTGCCAGTGTTCAGGCCACCATGTACAAGATGGCTGCTCAGATTCTGGAGACCGTGCCCGAGATTGACACTGTCGTCTACGCACTACCAAACAAGCACTACTTCGAGATTGGTGAGTTTATATGATACCTGTTCCCTGAATCTCACAAGAATACTAATCCTCTTCTTAGATCTGAGCTGGCACAAGGGCATCAAGAACACCGGCAAGGACGCCGAGGTCTATGCTCCCCAGTCTGGACCCAACGGTCTCATCAAGTGCGAGGTGTCCCGCGACACTCTGCAGCCAAGGCTATAGATACTGGAGGATTGTGCTGCTAAGATGACATTCGTGTGGAATGATGAGATATGACAAACCCGGCAGAAAGAGAGTGATACCAAGAGACTGTTAGACTCAGATACCTACTATGCCAGGCGCAATTAATATGGAATTTTGATATAATCATCTTCTCGTGGCCTTGGTGCTCACCCGTGACTTTCGTACTCACACGTGTCCAATTTGTCTCCCTATATCCGTACAGAACAGTCGATTGAAGGACGTACTGAGATACAGCAGTCATAAAAACTCGTTGTCGATTGCTTAAAGCTAGGTCATGAGATGCCCACAATATTGGTACAGATAGTACAAGACGTCCCCAATTCATCCGCACTATGTCTACAGCATGATCACACTGCCTTCGTCCTCAGCCCTCCCATACACTCTCATAATCTGTTCTTGTCCGCGTTACGGACCTTCTCCACGGCCTTCTCCCAATCCTGCTTTCCAACCTGGACACCAGAGAACCGTATCAAGTTCTGCTTGTACGGGTGTGCCTCGCCCTCGAACGCCTTGAGTCTCGCCAATCGCTTGTCCCGCAGTCGGTTCTTGGGCAGCATTCCGCGCACAGCCTTGCGTAGCACCTCGCTACCACCGTGCTGCTCCATGAGCACGTCCATCGTCACCGTCTTGAGGCTACCAGGTCGGGTCGTGTGTCTGTAGTACGGCTTCTGCCACTTCTTGCGGCCGGTTGTGTGAAGGGCTGCGCAGTTGGTCACCACGACGTAGTCGCCGCAGTCGGTAGAGGGGTCGAAAATCGGCTTGTGCTTGCCCATGAGGAGGACAGCGATGCGCGAGGCGAGACGGCCGAGAGAAGGGGGCGTTACGCCGGGCTGAGTCGAGAGAGTGGCATGAGGGGCGGAAGCAGAAACGCCGTGCCATACTCGGGAGTAGGCCAGCCTCGTCTATTGCGGTGGTGTCAATGGATGTGAACTTGTCGAGATATCACAGATTCGCCTACCAGACCGAGTGTTTGAGACATTTTGACGGCTTACGAGAGGTCAATCCCTCTAGGAGAATGACTTCAGTCGGTTTGAGTTGGCCACAGAGCCCGGTGGAGGAGAATTGGGTCGTCGATGAAGCTGCGCTTAGCCGTATCGCAACACCTTCAACTCGCTCAATGAAAGTTTGATGCCAAGACTCAATTGATGACTAAGATAGAGCCTCCGTCACGTGCTGCCCCGATGATCCCGAAGTCGGTGGCCCACTCCCGGGGTGGCAGGGATAATTCCCGATGGTATCACTCGGTTTAGGTGGATTTCAAAGCAACAAATCTACCTCCTCCTCAAAAATGACGCCCAAGATCACACCTTCTCGGGCACTTGCTACTGCATCTCTTCTTGCCATAGCCGGATATTCCGCATACCAATACAGAGCCTCTCGCCTCAATTCTAAGAACACGCCTCCCGCTGGTAGGTAGTCTTCATGCACGGTGCTCTCTCTTACACCGGCAGTATGGGCTAACGGCTCTTAGCAGCACCCGGCAAGATGACCGTGGACAACTCGTTTGAGGTGCGCCCGAAGCTCGCAGAAATGAGTCACGACTGAGAAAAGGGGACGAGGGGAGTAGTGGTTGAGACATGAGGCTCAGGGATACTAATGAAACACCTCGAAAACAGACCCTCTTCGCCGTACCGTTGTCATGTGACGGTTGTATCAAGGCGGTTTCAGACTCGCTGTACAAGCTTGGTGGCATTAGCAATGTCGAGGGCAACCTGAAGGACCAGTTGATCTCTGTCAAGGGCACAGGTAAGTCGAATTGAGGAATTGAAGTTGTGCACGTGCTAACCGTCACATCTCAGCTGCCCCCTCGGCCATTGTGGAAGCTATTCAAGAGACAGGCAGAGACGCCATCTTGCGTGGATCAGGATCCTCAGACAGCAGTACGTGCATTTTCTCATCAGCATTTACTGTAGCGGTTTTAAACGGCCGTTAAGATGGTTGTATTCAAACATGCACGTCACATGACTGACCTGGAGGACCTGTACAGGCGCCGCTGTAAGCATCCTCGAGACTTTCGACGACCCCGTAGAAGGACGTTATGAAGAACCAAGTCGGGACGTAAGAGGACTGGCAAGGATGGTTCAGGTTAGCTCAGGACGAACGCTTGTTGACTTGACAGTCCACGGTGTCACTCCCGGAAAGTATCGAGCCTCGATCCGCGCATTCGGAGACCTGAAGGACGGTGCACGATCAACTGGACCTGTGTGGTCAGGAGGAGAGAAGGAACTCCGAGGTGATTTGGGAGAGGTTGAAGTTGGTGAGAATGGAAGGGGAGCAACGTTTCTTGACCACGGATTTCAGATTTGGGAGGTAATCGGGCACGCCATGGTGCTGACCCGGCAAGAGGAGGGACCTGAGGGACTCAAGAACGATAAGGACACCGTCTTGGGCATCATTGCACGAAGCGCGGGCATGTGGGATAACGACAAGACGGTGTGCTCCTGCACTGGCAAGACGCTCTGGGATGAGCGCAAGGATGAGGTCAAGAAGGGCATGCTCTAAGGACGAATAGCACCTCAAGGTGCAGTACCGGATGAAGCGGCCGTCGAGCCATAAGCTCCGATCCTGCAATATTGCCAATACTGCCAAGGACGCAAAGGCTACTCTGACCAATGCTGCCGGATTCGTGGTGTGATGCAAGTCCAGCCTCGAATTCTGTTCGTCCATTCTGTGTTGTCTCCCCGTAAACTTGAAACCAGTCCCGTGCCAGCGAGGCGTGCCTTGAGAGTGACAGGTGAAGGATCTCTGGCGTATCGACCGTGCTGCGGCGAAAGGTGGTGCGATATCTTGCCCGGGGGATCAGATCGAGCATGGGTATGAATGATGATATCGTTCGATGCCCCCCCGCGTATGGCATACGGCCACGATAACTCCAGGCTTTACGCGCCGTTGAGCCGTGGGAAAATATGTGATTCTGATACTGGAAAAATCAAGCCTTCAGGGTTGGAATTGCTGCCTGCTGGTACAAGCTCCCGCGGACATAGGAACACTCGTCCGTCGACTGGCAAGGCATGGAGAGGCATGGCATGGTGTCGTGCACTGGGCACCATGCCATCTCGATTTCTCGTCAAAGTCCAAATGCCGGACGAACGGTGTGTGGATCTAACGGCACTGACTTCAGGAGGCTCAAGATCTACCGGGACGAAGATGAAACCTTCGATTCCAGCCACAGAATCAAGAAGTAGCAATGCGAGACGACGGTTCAAGCGCAGTTTGCATTGAATATCCCGTAGTTTGGAACTTGACGTCAGTTAGCTCGTTAGTGGAGAAGAGGAGGGGGAATCCACCGATCCCATGCCGGTAGGTTCCGGGTACCAGCTTGACAGGTTTTTTGGAACGGGGGGGAGAAGATGAGACGAAGGGCGACAGGGACAGGAGGTGGTTTTGTGTGAGAGAAGAGGCGGGTGTGTGATGTAGGTGTTGGTGTAGCATGAGGCTGGACGATGGTGACACTGCATTGAACAACTCGATTCTTCAGGGGTTAGAAGGATTTGACTTGGTTTAAGGTAGAAGATGAAAGGTGAGATGTGAAAACAGAAAACAATTTGATTGTAGTTGAAGCGCATTTGTGAAGGACGATGAACCTTGATGGATGCGGCTGAAGCCTTGTAATCTGGTTGGCCATGTCTTTATCGATGCTTCCACAGCCACAACCCTTCCAGTGTCGCTGGACCTCTTTGCCAGAGTTAACCTGTAGAGTGGAGTCTGACTTGCCAACTGATTAAGCAATCTTCTAGAAATCCATTGTCTGACGGCTAGCTTGGTTACTGAGTTGCGGGTTCCTGAACTCTGATGAAACTAGATCATAGTCGTTAATCAGGACTACAAGTCGACGATGCATGTTAGATCTAACAGCCCAACCCCAAGAAAATCTCCGGCATTGGAACGTTTCCAGCTTCCTGGTGCCTGAAAGACACCCAGACATCTGGAAACTTGCCAGTCTCGGGCTGTAACCCTCACTGGTACCCCCTGTCTCCCGGAACAGGAGCAAGCCGGTGGATAAAACGTGTCAGCTACCAAGACTATCAAGCAGCCTCCAACGATGACCAGGGGGAGGGGTCCCGATCTGGCGGTGGACTTGCCCTAACCAAAGATGCAAAGTCTGGATGGCATGTGCAAGAGCAGGAAAAATCCCCAACAGGGACGTCTCTTGGAGATGGGATGAAGAACTTGAGTGTGTGTGTGACTAGTGGGCAGCTGTTGGGTCTGATGCGTGTTGAGTGGGCGCATTAGTGCACGACCTGGGCGGTAACCGTCGCAAGGGATAGGCTGGAAGGTTTTCGATGTGAAAATGGGAGAGATCCATGCGAAAGCGAGAGAGTAAACGTACCGTACATACTCCGTGGATGTCACGATGTTGAAGTCGTCATCAATTTCAGCAAAATAGCTGTCGGTGCCGGTTTCTTCCTCTGTTTCCCGCCGCCATAGCTCGGCACCGGACGCCAAGATCGCTTGAGGTTCTTGTTCTGGTGGTTGCTGGGGTTGGATCTCGGCTCTATTGGTGAAGAAGAGGCATAGCTCGAGCATGATCATTTCATCACATCTAAATTTGTCCTTCTTCTTCCACCGCAAAGCTCCACAGGTGCTCTCCTCGCATCTCGGTAAAAAGTCAAGTGCCACTCCAAGAGGTCTTCACCATCCCGTGCGTGCCCTTCCCTTGGGATCCGAAGACTTGGAAAGCCCTCAATCGAGCAAAAGTGGCTGCCCTCCAAGATGCACTGCATCGATAGAGTTGCTCTAGCATCCTGCGGGGGCCGTCACGCAAATCGCTCCATCACGGCGCTTAGAAGTCTGGCTTGGGATGGGTGCGCACACGTCATTCGACGCCGACGGCGTGGATGTCGTTGGCCGTCTCCCACGGCCTATCAGCCTCGTGGCTGGGGTGGACAGGGTCTGTGGTCTTTGATGTTATGCGCAAATGGCGGAGAGTGCATCTGGCATCCATGGAGATGGAGCTCGAGAAAGGGAAGGGATCCATTGCTGCCCGGTGAAGCTGCTCAGATAGGCGCCGAGGGGTGGATCGTCCAAGGGGTCTAGCGATCCCAGGACCCTGAACTGGGGGCAGTTGCCCAATCAGAGCACCTGGCCGGGACTTAGCAACACCTGTGACAGTCGCTGCAGCAGGTGTGAAGAGCGCTCGGCCTCCCACGCAAAAACCCCCGGCTCAGGGCAGAGAAAGCGATCAGAGTTCGCATCACACCGTTCGATTCTGGAAAGGCATCTGACGAGGCTGAAGAGTGCAGTGGTTCGATCGGGGAGGAGGGGGAGTAATCGTGGGTGGTAGCTAAACTACCTAGTTGTGCGAGCAAAGCCTATATCACATCTAAATTTATCCGTCACATCACACCTTGGATGCAGATAGATGACGGATAGTCATAGTTGAGGAGATAGAGCTTATGGAACAGAGCCTTGAAGTAACGGGGAGTCCGTGATCAGCTCAAACCCGGTCCGGTAAGAAAGAACACAATGCTTTTTCTGCATCAGGCTGGTGGTCGATCAGACGTTGCACATCAAACGTCTAAAGCATGCACTTGAAGTGTCATTGGAGATCCGTGAGACACGGCATCGCGAGAGAGGGAGAGAAAAACGTGTAAAACCCCTGCTGCACATCCCCCTGACCCGCCGGTAGGAGGTGGCTGTAGAGTAGACTCCAGAGGCATGGACTTTGGGCCCTACTACGTAGTCTCTTGGTAGTAAGCCAGGTCTGTGTGACGGGCCAACTTCACGACCAATTCGAGTCGTCTCTACGCGCTGGCTCTAGCCCCATCAGCCACTCACCATCTTGCGCACGACATGGCATCTCTGGCCCTGCTGCATTAAATCACGTCCATCACCAGACCATCGGTTCTTGGCTCGTCTTGTCGTCTTGTCTTGGGCGCTTTCGATAATCGACGACGACTCGCGTGGCTCCGATTCTTGTGAAATGCGATTCCATTCCCTGCATTAGCATCAAAGACGGGCAGAGAAACATCCCACTTACACCGACCCTTTGCGTGGCCGACTTGGAGCATCGCCAGACTGCACACTCGCCCCATTGTTTCCTTGAGCAATATAATTGACCAGTTG